ACATCTTTGATAAACCGTGTTTTAAATATGTTAGAACGTGCGAAACATTAAAATAGTCGAAACAGAGACAAGTTTTTATAATAATAATAATAAGTACAAATTAATGAGCAACGTTAAAGGCAAGAAAAAGCGTCTGTGCTGGTCTAGAAGATTTTAATTCAAGTTTGAATACCTGAGTTTTCACATACAACTTACAAAAAAAATTTTTTGTCAATAATAATTATTTGTTACACGTGCATATACAAAGTAATTGTTTGAAAATTTTTATTGAGATATGAAAAGGTATCGATAAGTGACAAACTTTATACACGGCGTCTATCAGAGATTCCAGTTAATTTCAAACTCGGGAATTTTGCAATGAATACATACAGTAAAAGGAGTTCTGAAAAAAAAAACTTCTTTGGTTAATTCCCATGTTAAAGTACGTTCTCACGCCCACGTGAATATATAAAGGTTTCTATTGTTTCAATGGGCGTACCGCTTTAGTTTAGAGACTCGTCAATATTAATATTGTCCCATTGATTGAACCTGTTTGAAGGTCGTGCGACGGAGTCAATATTCCCACATAACCATCAGCTGACGAGCAATCGCATTTTGTCCGGAGTAGTAAAAAAAAATTTTTTATAGAAAATTCCCATACCTCTTTTTTTTTTCCTCTAATTGCATTCGGTTCTTGAAGACCGAGGATAAACAGCAATGCCCTAATTATAGACAGTACGTGAAAAAAACTACCCAAACTACCACGGCAAGGGTGAACAAGGCGCCAGATGAGAAACACCCAATGAATATTTATTACTATGCTTCTGAATACTTTTTTCGTTGAAACTTCAAACCCTGCCTCAACTGGTACTAGTTGACCAGCAATTGAGTTCTCTTTACATCCTTGCCAATATCTATTGGTTGGTGTAAAAAATATTTGACTAAACTTTGGAAAGCCAAGAAAAAGTCTGGAAGCAGAAGATCTAACGTTTTCAAGGTATAATGTTTGGTTGAACAAATCGGAGACGTTCTTCAGCAAACATACTCCTTTCTTCAGGGGCAATTCTCCCATTAAATGTTCCAAAATAAGAGTGTGGGAAATTTTCAATCGCATTTATACTTAATAAACAGTGATTTCTGGTACTAGAATGATAGAAACTAAGAGTTGGTATGTATAATATTAAGCATCCATTGTCGAACAAATGATGTACGTTGATTAAAATCGAAGAATGCATTAAACTTCATATTTTTCTCCGAATAATAAAACCAATGAGCTTATTAATGTTCTGTCTAAATATCACACCGATAAGAGACAGCTAGTCAACATTCTTTATGTGATGTTTAACATAATCTATTTGCTACGAATTTCTATAGATCCCCACGCTTTACTGGATTCTAATGACTTTGAAACATGTTTGTTCTGGTAAAACTGATATCTTGTAATAAAGTAAACGTGTCATTTACCCGTAAAAATCGCCAACGTTACGAACATATCGTCTGACTAAACTGCTATATGCGTATTGGAACTCTTCGGTGGTATGTATACTGGCCTTTTGTCGAAAAGGAAGATTGAATAGCCTAGTCCGGGCATAACTTATTTCTCCATTTGATTTTATTAAACCGGATTTCACCGTCTACATACTATTTTTGACGCATCCTAACATAGTTACGTATTATTTTAGAATACTCTTCAAGTAAGTAAACCGTCAATTGATGGAAATTATTAGAAACGTCATCATGCTATCACGCGATAAATAGTCCTTCTTTTTGAGGAGCAAGTTCATAAGAATGTACCGTCAAGATTCAAACGCATCGTGAAGCTTTTTTGACGGTGAAAATAGGCTCTCGATATTACTTGACTTCATATTAAGCAAAAAGTGAATATACTGTAAAGAAAGAGAGCGAGCCGGCAAGCCGGTGAATCGAGAGTTGGAATCATAATTCAGTGGTTAGTGGATATCTGCGATATTTCAACTGACATCGATAATTAACCTCCCCTTCGACATATTCAAGTTGAAACGAAGGAATTACAAAATCGATTTCCAGCATATCGATGTTATTTGAAGTTTTGGGAAGTGTTATTAGTTTTACGATTGAATGATTGTTCGTGATTTATCATAGTCATTTTAGAAATAAACGCAAAAGGAAAATACTTGTAGCAAGTCGGACATAGTTCAATAACTCTTTCTCTTCAATATTTTGAACATCAATTTGTGAATTGCATCATTCATGATGGAATATGAGATGCACAGCTAGAATTTCAAATTCTGCAGTCGTTGTATCACAATTACAAATTTGTTGGAGAACCCGGTTTATAACTGTGCTCCCAAGAGTCCATTTATGGCCGTACAAACGGTTTTGCGCTTCCAATAATCGATTAACAAACGTTTCATTATCATAACTTAATCGCTTTGAAAGATACCCCTGATATCGCTGCAGAATTTCTATATCTCAGTTTTGTCGAACAGTCACTTTGTATCGAACAATCGTATATATTATCCTGGTTAACTCTATCACATGTTACATGCTTATCTTAAATGAGCAATATATCAGTATCTATTGTATATTTATTCACACGTGAGTAGATTTACGGGAACTGACACGGCACCTTCTACATTAAGTTGTTGGCTTTTTTAATACTTCTCACAGGTGGTTTACATAATGATTACAATACGTCTGGACAATCAATATGAGGACTACACAAATCATTTGCATGCATATTTATGTCACTACTTTCATTAAGAATACTAGATTCGGAAGTGTAAATAGCCGATGCAGGTGCTCGTTATTCTGTCCTCAGGAATGAACAATATTCAAAGTCAAAGTTAAGCATTTAATGAGCATCTATACCTGATAGCGATTCAATTTCAGGAGTTGTTGTATCACCGTGTGCTATGACACGAGCAATTGTTTAGATTTCAGTCTGCATCGTATTAAGATAATGCAAGACTGACAGATGTTTGACACACGGCGGCCTCTGGCTAAAGATTAACAAACATGTTATTCGACTCATTCATCAGGTAAGAGCTAACCTTTAATAGTTTGTGAACCGCAGATTTGGCTAGTCAGACACAATAACTTCCTGGGTCCTTTCTCCTAACGGAAGACAGCAAGCAACGAGAATTTTTCTACTGGGGAGACGCTATATATTAAAAATATGCAGTTTTAAGAATGACACAAAGCTTTGCTTGGAACGGTTAGCTGTAATCGTCCGTATCTGCCTCCTCAAAATCTCATCGAGAGCTGCGAGACTGTTTTAACTGTTTTGCGAGTTCTACTGTATTTCATGCTTGACCATGAATCAAATAAACCCTATGCTATTTTTTCTCGGTTAATAAATCGATTATCTCCTGATAACAGGTCATATTGATTTATAATGCTAATGTCAGCAATACGTATCATTTTTGCTTGCTCCCCAGCAAATATTTTTAGTCAAATGAAATTTAAGATTCGTCTCACATGAACACGACAAACAAACACAACAAACATCATTATTATCTGCGAATTTCGTTGGTTAATGATATCTCTATTTAACCATGTTCAACCACTCCTGCGAGCTGACATATTAATTCGTAAAAATAACCCTCCATCCTGACCAATTGATTGGTACTGCTGTAGGATATATATGGTAACATAATAACGAGTTCCAAGAAATAGATATAACGATTTACATGTGAAGATTCGAAATTCTTGGGCAGAGTACCAAATAATATGATCGGGACGTTTAGAAAATCCCGGATTTGCAAACCCCTCCTCCCACCCTTTTATGTATGCTCTAAATTACCTTTTCGTAGCAACCTCAAGTTTTCATTTTTTGACTTTTAAGTGCGTGTATAAGAGTTTATGGGTAAGTTTGATCCAACCCAAAAGTAAAGGCGGAGAGGAATTTGTAAAAAGGCAGATCTTATCCATTTCAATTGCTTGATTTTTTTACGTTGAAACTCTCTAGAGATAATTTGTTCGAAGGAAAGAAGGTGTTTAATTTATCCGGCTTATCTGATTAAACTGACGAGAAAACCTGTACATTACTTGATAGGGATACTGAGTTATTAATATTGTCATCAAACTTATTAGTTATTACTGTTGCACAATTATTGTCGTGAAATGTGCAACTTTAATGATACACGGGTATACTATTGTCATTAATTTAATATTAGAACGAGAACAAACTGACTATCAAAATAACTTTATTACTGCATAAGTAGTACATATTATGAAGTGGCCGCTCGAAACCACACTTGAATTGTCTCATACTGACTCGTATAACGTCCATATTAAGAAATTCTGTACAGTTTGTCTTTACGCCATAGTACAGACCACACGAGCGACGATCCTAATTAATAATGTAAAATACCTTGGCGGGAAGACATAAATCCAAATTTATAATTCGTAATAGAAGCGGGGAATTTCCTCAATTTACAGTTTTTCCAGCTCACGCAAAAACCTGGGTAACAGATATGTAGCCGCTTACGGTGAATACTATTGTCTGTTTGAGAGTTTTGACAGGGCGGTGTGTGTAGATCGGTTTAGATGGAATTACGTAATAATCTTGAATCGCTTAATCTACCGATCTTTTGCTTGTTATCTCGTTATTTTATATTTACCATTGGCATAGAATTTAGAATTATGTTCCTTCATTTCAATCCGGAATTCTATTATGCAAATGCAAGCAGTCTCATTTACAGATCAAACTGCACGACTGAAGCTCCCAAATATTGTTTTTAAATAGAATAGCTGCATAATGAAACATGACAATAATATGTTATTTTGGTTCACCATTCCAATAAAACAGTTTCATTTTATGCAACAAAGCCTGTTAAACTGCATTCTTATTGTGACATTGTAAACAATGAAAAATTGATTTACGATAAAGCTGCATGTACGTTTCAATTTATTATCGCTTATATGTACACAAATATCTACCAAATATTTATATACTTTTAGTTCACTTATCCGAATCCCTCATCAACATTCCTCCATCTCGTAAACTAACTTTATACTATCACTAAATAATCTTTAATATGGGTCATCGCTTATCCAAACAGAACGAAGAACATCAGTTTGCAAGGAAGGGTTCCCTAAAACCGGCAAACGAAAGCAAACATATGGATTGCATTAATTGCAACTATTTTGAGCCTTTAGATGACGAGGTAGATAAAAGCAGATTGTGAATAGTGAAAGTTAAGGATGGCAGCTACGTAAACGACATCTGATCGTATTATTTAATTATTAGGAACTTCACCGACTACAAGCACAACACTTTCTTTTACGACTCATTCGTGGTAACTTCAATGCTCCATTGAAAAAGACATTATCATTAGGAAACACCAAAGTACTTGATGTTGGGTGAGGATTTAAGAAATAATTTAATAACAAGTTTTACCATTTCTTTTTCTTGGCTGGCAGGATTGTTCCTTTCCTTGTTATTAATTAATTATTATTAATTTAACCATTAATAATTACTTATAAATTAAAATTCTCCCTTCAACGTACACAGATGTGGGTAAGTATTGCACAGAATCACCCTAACGTTGTTACACAGTGACTTATTTTACACTTTAACTTACTATCGCGAGGAACTTTTATTCACAATACACTTTAACTTACAAAGCTCTGGCACGTGGATCCTCGATATGGCAACTGATTACCCACAATCATCATTTACCGGTTTGGACATGTTAGCACTCTTTCCCACCCAAATTCGTCCGGTCAATGTCTCGTTCATTCAACAAAACGTACTCAAGGGATTAACTACATGCGACAACACGTTTGATTTCATACACGAACGATTTCTTTCTGGGAGTTTTTCTACCAGTCAGTGGGAGAAAATAGTAATTCCCGAGTTGACACGAGTACTGAAGCATGAAGGATGGATAGAATTAGTGGAGAGTGATGCAATGTTAGAAAATGTTGGAAGGGCTGGAAAGAGGCTCTGTGATGGATGTAAGTATGTGATACGGAAAGGGATGATGTTTTTTGCTTACAAGCGACTAACAAAACAACAATTTCAGTGATTCAAGTGTTCCAAAAGAGAAACATGGATGGAATGATAGCGAAACGATTGCCATCGATGCTCGAATCAACCCAAATGTATTCAGAGATTTCAAAAGTCGAGACTGAAGTTCCGCTTGGTGAATGGGCAGGTGATATTGGGTTACTAGTAAGTATAGTTGACATGGGGCAAGCTAATCTACGCAGCATAGTGAACTATATTATTTACGCAATGTATCTTTGTAGGCCCTGAAAGACATGACAGCATTCTTTTCGGCCGTTAAACACCAAATGGTAGAAGAAATGCAGATATCATTATCAGAATTCGATGGATTGTTAGCTGAATTTACTCGAGAGGTTGAGGAGTTTAAAACGGTACGAAGAATTCATTGCATATGTGCAAAAAAATCGTTCGTCAAATGAAGAGGAGGAAGATGTGTTGTCGATGCGGAGTATTTAATGTATTTCAACTTAAGTGACACTATTGACACTTATTATACAATCTTTGTGAATTTAATGTACAAATGGCATGAGTTAAGGGCATGTAAACATAACTATATCAAAAAGAAACAAAAAAAAAACCACTATAGGTAAACAACTCGCAATGTAAACTTGTTATCGTGCCGTACCTCGTGCACGTCTGTAATTAGGACCATTTCAATAAATTTGTATTCATGACTATGGCTGTACTCCTTCTCGATTCCAAATTAAGCAAAAACTCTGACGAGTCTTTCGCATTACCGTTACACCCTTTCCTCTAATCCCTCAGTTTACTTGTTTAGCACTCTCACGGACACATGATTATTCGCAATCTATATATAATGTCTTGTTTGTTGTACAAATAAGAAACAATGTGCCCTTTGTCGGCATATGCATTATTGTGCATGAAAGTTTTTGCATGGTATTGGGCGAACTAAAAAAAATCTAGTCCATTTGGTTTACGAAGACTCGGTTCTCCGTGTTATGAACTGGTCCGTTTCTTAGTGATATTGCGGTTATCATAAACTATGAATATTATTATATACGTAAAAGATATCTGAATAGGCCTGTTTATCACATCCGCAGCCACACGTGCCTTATGCTTCTATGATTCACTAAACATGATAATGCATAAATAAGTTATGTTAATAATGATGTATGAATTAAAGTTCAAGGCATCTGATTAGTCTATTTTTCACGTGGCAGTAAAATATAGCTATTTCAATTATGTCGTTGACAAAGTCACGATCTTTTGGGCATTCTAAAGCCTAATATACAGCAATTGAAGCATACATATTATATAAGCAAAGGTAGAGTAAATTCCCGCAGCTTAATCTGATAACAGTTTGGTATTATAATTGACGGTCGCTTAGATTTATGGTTTATCATATACCTAAACACTTGACGTCGTTCGATAAATAAGGCATTCATGACTCCAAGGTTAAATGACTAGCAGTCTCGAACCTGGACTTTTACTAAAAGTTTACAACGCTCAAACATGATAGTTATCAGTTAATTCCTTGTAATGAAGTTTTCTGGGCGAATATGTTGCAATTTTCGTAGAAGGCCCCGATATTTGCAATGTGCCATTGATAACTATTGCTAATACGTTGACATAATGATAACGACAGTCTTCTATAGGGTAAAGTTGTGCTTGGATGGCGGCTGGTCAAAATTGCAATTTGATGTGCAGATTCAAACGTGCGAGGTAATAGTTATGTTTTCATGTATTATCGAGTATAATGTACTTGGGTTTTCAATTAACGTCCTTCTTTATTAGTGACGAAGACTTCTGTTGACGCAAAGCCAGAATCTTTGCCATTCAAATTGATTTACGCCATCGCTTGGCGTTCGAACAAATTTGTGGGCTGGAATACATATGTAGCGATCGATCGATCGATCAATTCAATTGTTAACTTTAATATATTCATTGTTCAAACCATTGTTTCTAATCAAGTATTTTGTTCATTAAACGTCTGACCACAGAAATCCGAACTTTGCAAAGGATATTAGTCGGAAAGATTGACTTAAACTTTACGATGACATAGCACGTTCTTGCGGCTGTATTTTCTAGGTAGAGGCATTAACGGCATGAGCAAACTACTTTTCGGAGGTAAGGTCCGACGTTTATGTAATCAGCCTACTGATGATGAAATCTAAAGGGACCTGTAGAAAGGAAGAGCACTATAGTAGTAATAACATTGACAATTTATAATTATCTTCCAGATGTCGTTCCGAGGATATCAGTCACGACATACGGATGTGCTGCTGCGTCGATGCGAACCTCCATAATAATCTGCTACGCTTGTCAAAAACTGTAACAAAGATCTTACAACCGTCGCAGAACTAAGTACTCTCGGAAGAAGTGAATCAACGTGACTGGTTTATAATGAAGAAATAAACTATATCTAATACGTATATAAAATTGACAAGCGCAATGATTTAATCTTAAACACTTGGCTTGGAAATATTCATACGTAAGTATTGTTCGATTGTTAACAATGAATGCATCATTGAAGGCGAAACCTGATCAAAATTTCTTCAAAATGCTGTCAATAACTGTCAAACTGATTGATAATCTAACCGAGTTCATTATTCCAATACTGTGTAGATGATAGTAAATATAAATATTGGCTTCTGATACGGAAATGGATGTAAAGGTAATTTGGAGAACTAGAATGGTACGTTCATGGCTTCTAATAAGTGTTTGTTGTAAAGTTTTAATCGAAATTACAACACATAACACAGTTGGTTAACATATCATTCCAGCAGGTTATTATTGTAGTTGAATAACGAAAAGATTCGAGGGTCTCATGAATATTAGACGTTGCAGTTAATGTTATCCATTGATGGCTCGTAAGCGTATCTATTTGCCTTACCGCTAACTTCAGGGGAAATATTAAAAGTGGGTATACGATGCTCAAGAACTGTTATTTGTGTTTTCTCTGAAATCTAACGCTGTATTCAACAAACTCACTGAAACAAACAGAATACTTGTCGTCAATATGACACTTGAAGTTTGAAAATATTGCAAATTTTCAATGCTCGGGAGTTGAGTCTGTTTTACCCAAATTTATGTTTGAATGGGAAGGGCGTCTGGCTTTAAAGTGTCGACGCTGGATTATATCCCTCGCTTGTGTCCTGTATGCTTTTTTGAGGTTAGTTCACGTTATAACTTACAGATTTGAATGTTTAGACCTAATTAATGTAGTGTTTGATAAAATTGAGATCATAGTAATAGGATTTTCAGATTCGGTGCGTTCGTTATGGATTGTGGCCATACTTATATTGTCAGAACAAGAGTACTATATTATAATTACAGTAAAGAAATGTTGATCAATAATCAGCGGATAATTGTAATATTTTCTTTTTAATACTAAATTTCTACCCCAGTAACTAAATGTCTGTTACCACGTTTGTTTGTTTGTTTTTTTTTGTCATATCTAATCCTCAATGACTTGTCTGGCACAGGTTAATGATCATGTTTCGTTACAGCTTCATTTATTTGACGCTAGAGTTTTACCAATGTACGGGAATCCCAGATATCAAACGTGAATATTTGGAAATCTCATAATGGACAAAGCTTCTTATCGGTAATCATGTGACTTTATGTAGCGGTCAAGATATGCAATACCAAAAAATGCTTGCTAAAACGGTTTTACTAATTGATGGTTTGTCAATCATCAAACGGCAGTAACAAAATAAGGAGACTGAGTTTTTATTGGGTACAAATTGTCAATAGTTCGTGTCTTTGATGTGTTCAAACTCGTCTGCTATTAGAATTCCGGCTCCCATTGTAATTCAAGGTTACAATCACATCGTTCTCCTATAGGATGGGGTGATCGGCAATTCGTTAACATGCGCATTCGGATTCTATTGCAACCGTAACTTAAGGTACGTGGTAATTGCCCTAACGATTCTTATTAATAATTAGCAAAGTCTCCGTCCGTCATCTTCTATCAGATCAACAGTTAATTAATCACTATGTTTATCGTTAGAACATCAAGAACGTTGAAACATCGGAAATTGGAAGAGATTCTAATTCTATCTATAATTACTTCTCTATCGATAATGCATCATTCTAGTTTTACTGCAAGACATTGGACATTGATTCGGAATAGTGTTTTCCAACAATTGTTTGTTATTAACGGCTTGGCTGACCTACTCAGATCGATCCAATTCGAGATAAGCACTTTTTATTTCGGTAAACAATGTTGATTCGATGTCGCTTATTGGTATGATATTTAGTTAATGTACCCATTTCGAGTTGGGTCAATAGAACACTACATGTGGGGAGAGGCTGAAAAAGTTATGTTGTCGATTCTTTATTTGATGATTCTAAATACAATATTTCAAAAACTATTTTATTCTCTCAAAGCAGTCCTATTAACATCTGTGCAAAGTTTCAAACGTTTTGCTAACTTCAGAACTTTTCATTGTCAGCTTTTGGGATGGTGTTAACAACTGGCTGAGCAATCAAATTTTCAACACCAAAACATTTTCTCTTTCGTTCTCATAATTAGAAAAAATCACAAGAAGAACGGTCTGGAATGTATGGAAAATTGGGAGTGTTACCTGTTATTTTTGAAGACGATTGAGCAGCATTGTCATAGTGAAGCATAACATCTTAATTTCTTGCGATAGTGTACAAGTGTATGGGACATACCGACCTGACTAGCCATTTATTCGGCAATAAGTGAGGGTTAGTGTTATAAAGCGGCAATATTTTTTTGAAGTCATTGCTTTCGCGAGGACGCGCTCAGAATGAGCCTTGTCAAGAATACTCTAATTCCTATTCCTTGATCAGCTTTAAATAATTGCAAAGACAATACTTGTTTCCCACTGGCATTGACCAACTCGTTGACCTGATTTGGCACCCACCATGAAATGAAAATTATTATTACCGTTTGTGGCATCTCGAAAATGAGCGAAATGGATTCCGTGATTTCTTTTGTTTTATTCATTCCTCGAAACGATTGTTTTTGCGTAAGTCAGCTGATTGTTAAAATCTAGCGCCACACGTAGTTGAGTTAATTTGGCAATAACTCCAGCTTAGCCCTTATTACTATAGCTTTTCCTAATTTCAAGCTCGTATATTTAATAGCTCCTTTGGCTCAATTTGCTTTTTTAAAAATTACCCGTGTGCTAAATGATGTAGGCATCGATGATTAGTAATCAGTCTTTTAAAGCATCTCCCAGTTTTGTTTTAGGCCGGACATTTACAACGTTTGAGTAATTCAAGCCCGAATTCTTTACTGTGAAATTCGTAATTGGTGTTTGTCTACTGTATAAATAAAGTATTATTCTCATAAAACATAGTTATTCCTCATAGTCAGACATAAGTTGGGTCTCTAACAAATTACATACACAAAGCTGCTTCAATCTAATTTAATATTAGTAATAATAATAATAATACTTTTTTTTTGTGATAATTTCTCTATTATTCTATTAATAATCAGATTTATGCTGACTTCTCTATCTTAGTTTTTATATATTTTGAACCTTCCAATAACTGTTGTGAGGCTAATTCTTTCATTGTCATTTAACGTCCAATATCTTATTTTGTGTATTACAACAGCATTCATTCATGATTTAACAAGTACGTGTCGGGAATTAATTCTTTCGTAACAATTTAACTTACAAGTATGTTAGTTATTTTAAGATTTAATTTTGCATATGCTTGTCTTGCGCACAAGTTAAACTGATATCAAGTCAATAAATTTCGACGAAAAATGTGTTTGTAAAATAAAGTATTGTCCATATTAATATTTTAATTTTCGGATCCAAATGGATAAAGTGCTTACCGAACAGTGCCAGACAAAAGTAATGGCGCAGGTATGTGACTTTGTTTTGAACACATGGGGGCTAAAAGTTTTACGTGTAGCTCTCTAACTCAAGATTGCGGTAGTTTAACTAAAAATTGAAATAATCACAAAATGTGCATACTTTCATGTAAAAAAAGTTCACCATCTTATTGTCTACCAGCACAATTAAACGTTGGATTGTTATATTCAAAGAAGAATAAGAAAAAATTAAAGACAAAGGTTCGTTATGGAAGCAGTGACAGTGCCAAGGTCGAGGTCTTGTTAGCAATAACCCGCGTATTTCTATTAAAAATTTAGCCAACGCAACCAGTATTTCTCCTAAAAAAATTTTCTTTATTTTGCACAACGAACTGTTTCTTACGTAGGCTTCATTTACGACAACGCAGCGTTACATAAAATAACGATTATGACGGAGTGTCTTCATAACGAATGAGTAAAACTTTCCATACAGTCTAGATCGTTTTCCTTGTATAAATAAACAACTGAAGGGAAAATTTTTAATAAGGTCGAAAATTGGCAAAAGCCCGACTATGAGAAGTCTTCCCAAAGTCGGCAAAATCGTCTGCAATGTTGGATATTGATGAGAGTAGTTTGAGGAATTAAATAGTCGAATCGATAATTATTATAAAATTTCTGGAAATAAAGGTCTACGCGCAAAACTTTTCAGCTCACGAGTACGGGTGTTTAAAATATAAACAATAAAACACAAGTATACAGACTATTTATACTCGTTTTTAAATTTCAAATGGCATCTACACCCACTATAAAGAAATGTTAAACCGGTTAAGTCTCTTAAGGCAAATCATTCATTAATGCAAAGACAATTAATAAACAGAAGTTTTCTGCTTTCTTTTAACCTTCTTCGATAAAACGGGCAACATTCATTGAGCTAATCGCTCGCAAAAGTTATTACTTGAATAACATTACCAAACTGGAAAGATTATCAATATGATTATTCACAATGTCAAAGAATCAAGACTGTATAGAAGGCATATATCCCAAGTTAGATGTTAATGAGCGTACTACATGATTTTGCTTCAGTTACCACGTAAAGTGCTTATTTTAACCCAGGAAATTGTCTAACTAGAGCGCGTAATATTGCGTCATATTTGAGGATTTCTAATTTATTTCAATACGTGTTAAAAACCGACCGCTATTACTTTTGCCGGTTTTGTACCTAATGCTTTATTTATTACTGTTGAAGATTTTTTAAAGATAATCCAACTTAATAAAAACATGAATTCCAAGTGGACTACAAAAAAGGTGTTGGTAAAAAAGTGCTGAACATCAAAACGTTATCATATAAATTATTATTAGGAGGTTAGCTTTCTTCTATGAAATTTGAAGAAATGTTACTTGGATTATGGTCTTCATTGTTACCACTGAGCTCAACAATGCATAGCCTTACGGTAAAACCAATAAAAACAAAGCAGTACGTTGATTCGTCTATGCTGTTCATACCGTCAATCTTAACCAAATAATGTAGTTAAATCGACCAAATTAGCGCTTCAGTACATCTGACAGATTCGTATTCGGCCGACAATCTGACGACCAGTATACTAAAATTTTCGTGTAAATAAACAAATCAAACAATAAATAATACCGGCAAAGAATAAATAAATAATACAATAATAACAACTAATGTTACCTTAAAAGTTAGTGCTGACTGATAATGTGCTTGTTAATATTATAGCATATTTTTATTTTATTTAGCTGCACTTACAATTGAATGCTAAAGATGTTCTGTTTGTTCTATTTTCTTTGCAAAAATCTAATTTTATACAAGTCGTATTTTAAAAGTTTTTGTTTTATTGTTTATACTAAACATAATGTTACAGGAGGTCCGAAATAGGCAGGCGTCATAATAAATGTATAGAAAGAACTATTTGGTAAGGGCATAAAAATTCACTATGGAGCACAATGCGAAAGTCATAAAATTGTCTCTTAGAATGTAAAGTTGTAATCTTATATGTGGGAAATGTTACCCCGACCTTTTCGTTATTAATAGTATTATATCCATAGACAGGGAGCACCGCGTCTGTTGTATGGAGATAATACTCAAAATGTCATATCGTAAATGTAGTTAACAAATGTATAATATGCCTGGGGGGAACGGATTTTTCTAGAAGGCATCGAAGTTCTTGTTTCCTGGAGAATTGTGTTGTTACGCCAAGTGAGGATTACCATATTCGTTTAATGCGCAGAATTATAAATGGTTAATGACCTCATTTTGTGTATCCATGAAACCGCGATGTAGATTATCTAAGACTTACCATTCTCATTATCATGTGAGTACTGCGTAACCGTCGAGGTTGCACAGTAACGAACCCCCAGATCAGATCTATCAATCAGTTTATATTTATAGAGTAAATAGAGAAAAGAAAGAATTGGATTAGAATATTTGAAGAGAACAAATATACGACAACTGAGAAAAATTCTAATTTACAAGCACCCAATAATAGCAGCATGGTTCTAGTAATTCAAATTCAGTCATAATATTAGTCATGTTGCTATTTCCCAACTATAACTGTCAATGCAATTCAACCAGCATTTGCTTACCTGTTTGTTATGCTATGTCTTTTCATCCCATTGCTAGTCGAATTAATCGAAACAGATAAAGGAACAGACCTTACATGAATCATATATAGGCTACATAGAGACATCGAAACGAACACTCCACACATAATCCCAGTGCACTCATAACGATTGATGCCGCTAATAATAAACAATTCGTATGAATCAGTACAACATGTAATCAAAATCGAAGCCAATTTAACGTACATTCTACTTCTTACAGACCACGATCTTGATACTGAACAGGTTTTAAAATAGTGCTATCGATAAATGCGAATTCAATTCGGAAGTCAGCATAAGAATGGATGTGGCCCGCGAGATTTCTATATAAAAATTTTTTTTAGTTTTCGAAGAATCGGAGTGGGCGTAGATAGTTCGGATGCGAAATTTCGAAAAGGCAGGGATTTGTGTGCGGAGTGTAGATCTATTATGTATGTAAATTTACGAGTAAGTAAAGGGAACATCTGAACCAACAGATTGTTAATCAACATATTTTAGGAAGATGAGATTTGTTGCCGAGTATTATCTAATCTAATAGTTACGATATACACATATGTATGTGTGTATGAAAATGCGCATACCGTCATCAGATAAACAAGAGAATGGAATCAATCGTCTCTCGAACGAGACATTAGGAACAACGAAATAAGGTTTCGTTTGATCGAAGGGTTGTTTAAGAAACTCGCTAGTATGAAATGCCCAGGCAGGTGGGGGGATGAGTTCGTTTTTATGCGCTAGGGGAAAAAAACTCATGGCGTACGAGAGAATATTTCCAAAAGTTAACAAACCTTCGGGCCGCAAATACGCAATACGAAATGCGGTGGGGACAATGCACACGAAGAAGATAATACGCACAGACTGGACAAAATTTCGAGTAGCGGTTGGTTGGCCATAATGGGGAAGAAACGAGAGTATATTTGGATGTATTTCTGGATTGATATATTTACAGGAAGACTAGTCTGTCTATTTGTAATCAGTATATATGCTATGTATAGTAAATATTGTACGAGAAGAGAAAAAAAACAGTAGAAAAAGTAAAAGTAGAGCCTAAACTTGGAGTTGAGGCGCGTGATGTGTAGCAAGTAATATAATAAGTACAGGATAGCGTTTGAAATTCATGATATTCAATATACAAACCAATAGATTATTGTGTGTTTCGCCCTCATTAAATCGTGCATACCATTAATTATTATTGATTAATGTCATGGTCAGAAAGTTTCTTTAATAAGATGGGCGTTACAAAAAGAATGCAAAAACAGAAGTCACAAGATGCCTAAATAAGGCGCATGTAACAATAACGGCATACAAATCTTTTGCTCTACCCCATATTGAAAGGAAAAGCGTTTTTTTAGCGTTTCAATGTAGCTGCCACTAATAAAGGAATGCGAATCTCCACCATCCGCACTAGTACAACATTTGTGTTACTGAATATCTATCCTGCGTAAGTTGCTGCAAAGAGAGGTCAATCTTAGATCGATGTACGCCCCACCCCTTGTTGAAACAGACAGGAAGAGATGGTAAGTGCTTAAAGAGGGAATGCTGTGATAAACATTACGACAATTCAATCAATACTGATAAGCTCGCAATTTAGATTAAGATAGACCATTGGTATTTAATAATATGATTTATTTATTTTGTTTGTTTGTTTTGATTACATGTGTGTGTGCGATGATGGTTTATACGACAACCTTTCCTCGTCAATGTGATAACGAATGATGTGTCAAAAAAAAAGACAGGTTGTCACAATGAAGTTTCAGCCCTAAAATTCCCATACGTGGCGTATTTTCATTAGATCTGAGAACAATCACACTTACACACTCATTAAGATAAACAATACAAATTAACAATCACCCGATTATCAGCCACACATACTTGCCCTATCAATAATTACAGTTAAACTCTCTTCGCTACAAATATCACCCTCTCTCGTCGAAGGCGTATCCTTTGTTCATCCCCAACATTCCGCTTTATCCCCATTTTTAACTTTTATCCTCTATCACATTGGTGTAAACTTTAACAAGTGGCCGCAAGCATTGCATCCTATATTCTTCTACATGCATTTGTAAAACAATAGACCCACATAAACAGAAGCAAACAGCAACCCTTGGGTTTGAGATATGATGTATTTTGACGTCTATAGGGCAAGTGAAGAGGAGGAGGAGGAGGAGGAGGAGGGAGGAGGGAGGAGGAACGACAATTAAACTTTTTCTACTACGAATGCTCATAGTGCATTGGATTACCGTTTAGTTTGTTACAATACGTCGGAATATCATTTTTTCTGGAAAATTGTCACTGTGTAATTTATTTTGCTTGGGTTTATTCTCCCGATTTATAAGAGAATAGCTGTCAGAATTTTGTCAGTTCTCTCTTCTCTTTTTGCTTCAATATAGTTAGTATATTGTACCGAACACACATTGCGCCTTGATGATTAAATAAAGTTATTAGCAAGTAAAAGTATTCGGTAGTAACGATTTATCATACTGTGCATGTTATGACGTAATTGATATCAGGGGAATGCTGTACATCACCCCTGAACGCAATTCCAAGAAACCATATGTTTGATGTGTTTGCATTCAACACCAAATATGAAGCCTTGTTATGATAATTTCTATGCTTATGAAACATAACCGGTAACTTTGCATTTGATCTCGTCGGCTTTCGTTACTTTATTCCCGTCTGCTTGATCTAATTCACATGCATGTGTTATTTGACATCTGATTTATTTCAATTCTCGCTCTACCCAATCAATGCTGCTACATGCTTTCTATTTCTTTGACAAGTGATAATAGGATGTGATAAAATGAAGGGGGCAAATGAGGTGTCACTCTCTCCTTTGAATGCTGATCATCTTTTTTTGTTTATTGCTTATCTGTTTGTTACTGTTTATCTTGTCCGCCCCTTTTTTTGCGCCTCGTCTATTCAGAGAAAGCAGGTGTCACTTTACTTCACAATGACAAAAGTATTTAACCGAATCTCACTGCAAAATGGGAATCCCTTTTCCATTAGGGCAGAACGAGAAATAAAGAACAGGCTATTATTTGACAATATCGAATCGAATTGTAACTCGTTGCTTTGCTTATATCCACGAAGCATCATTTTCGGGGAACAACTTACGTGCAAATATTGACAGTCAGACTTTCTCGAAAAAGGCGGATCTCTCTCGAAGGAGTAACTGTGGTTATGTAAGCGATTGTTACTCATGGAGAATAGATTGTGGGGAATATATTGTGGGGGAATGTAGACAACTGGATTGATTGTAACAATGAGAATTTTACTGCACGCCATGCCAGCTGCATAAATTTTGTGTGCCCCCCCCAATCCAACCCCTATTGTTCAATACAGCTCCCGCAGAAAATCTGCAATGTCAATGTCGAGAGGCCAACTTGTTAACAATTGACCCACGCCCATGCTTTTTTTTCTCACACGATTGTCAGAATCTTGACATGTCGGTCACATGATTTTAATTTTCACGTGATTAATTGTATTGTGAAACAAGCGAATTGCGCCGTAATTAAAAATGCCCAAAGAGAGGAATTTTGAAAAGATCCTCTGTTGTTCGGCTAGCTTTTCGCGTAATGATTTCATTTGTCGGTTAATGGACATAAACGTTCTTTGCACAAAACACATTATCAAAATGAATTGCTTTCTTTAATAGCAATATAGTCCCATAACTGGCAACTGGTCAGGCGATGTAAAATTTTTGACAACGCAGTTTGAAAAAGAGAATGCTTAAAAGTTGGGTTTCGGATTAATAGGAAAATGCTTTTTTATGCTAACATTCGGGTTACTTCTAAGGGTCAGTGTGATATCATCACCAAACGTCATACTGACAATTTGCGAGGAATTACCGCGACAGATGATTACTTTAATATAGAGAAGGTATGGGATGTGGCTTTCATACACTTATCAAGTCACTTCTGAAAATAAGCAAGCTCTGTAACCAAACCAAGATAATATTAATGTTGAAAACGAGTAAAGTGGTTGCTAAATTATGCAATGAAGTAAGTTATGGATAACTTGCCCAATGATATCAATGCTATTGACCAAGGAACTAATTGAAGAACTTATGCAAAAATGGAAAAAGAAATTGAGCATCATGATTTTGCTATCAGCAGTTAAAAAAAGTGAACAAGTAGTGAACCTACATTAATAATCAAATTTATGAGTCTGATTTTAACACTTTTGTGTCCCAGGTTTGAATTACAAAAAACGCACACTTACCACAAAGACCCAATTTAATAGCACCCGAAGCTTACTATTTAAAATGAAAATGTGACAAATACTGGTTAAAACGAATAGTTTCTCAATTAAAAATCAAATGCAACAGTTAGAACGGATTCTTGACCGAAAAGGAAGAATTACAAACAACTAGCCAGATTAAGAGCCTGAATAATAGCGGAAAATAACTCATCAATCAAGTTCTCCCGAGATTAAGTGCTTATGTACATTTACTGATTAAGGAGACGTAAGTTACTAAATGTTTGTTACAGAACGCTTGTTACTTATTTTGGTTATTAAACTGATTACAATAAAAATAGAAGCTTATTTAAACACTTTTTATTAGTATAAACATTTCTCAACTACATTTTTACTGGCTTAGTCCTACCTACTACTTACATGTTGATCAGAATATGAAACGTGAACGTTTTTGCGCTCAATCGTAACTGTAATGACAGTAGCATTAACGCTAAAATAGAATTTGTTGTAAAATGTCATCTACTAATTTTATAATAAGTTCTTTCTAGCAAAAGCACGAGAGTGAAAGAAGAAAGTTTGCAGTATTCCTTCGACTTCCCTGGTCCTTTTGAGTCACGTTAAGTACAGATAAGGGAGAAAACATATGTATACTTGTCCCAACATGGTATGGCTTTTTTAATGCTAATGCATAAAGAGAATCACCTTTTCGGGAAAACCTTACTCATATAATGGGAGAAGTTTTTTGTAAAAGTTGGCTTCTTTCTTTTACGAACGTTATACTGTAAGTTGGTTCTTGGACTCATAATTTGAAAGTAAGGCGCTAGTTCTATGCGGAACGCATCATATCTTAACAATTCAACGTGTTATCATTTTCAAGACAATTTATACTCGTTTCGGCTGACGGAAGTGTAGCGATTGAGTACTTTGTTGACATTTTTACCGAGACTTGGAGTCCATGAATTTAGCATAAAATTTGCGTGACGAGTCAGTTATGTCAATTGTGGCATTCGTTTTATGTTGTCATAAACACGTAATATTATACTATTGGTTGCCAGATTCGAAGTGCGTCATGTTTTCTGAAAAAGAGGCGTATTGCGATCCCAGCAGTAAAACGTTTGCTAGTACGCGTCTTTTTTTAAGGCGTCGACCGGTCCTCCGCCATTCATTGCTTTTTAGTTTGGCCATTAACAATATATCTTGTTCAGATCTAAAGAGAGCAAACTTTCTTTTGGGATTATTTTGAGCAATTTATATGGCTTTTTTATATTCGTTAGAGCTTACTGTTATTCTTCATATACAGTTAACTCTGTCTATTCTGACCTTGTTGCCTTACACCGTTCCCAATTTCGCTGCATCAAAAATGCCATATTAATTTTACCTTATACAGCTAAATGTTAATAACTCTGTTCATATGGGATCCAGCGCAAGTTACACATAACTATAATTTCCTTTATATTATATAAAACGGTTTACTTATACCAGCAAAGTTAAGCAATTATTTGGAATATATTAATATTAATAAATGTAACCATAACTTAATCAATTCTTTGCCAAAAATAAAAAAACACACACAGGCTTTAACTCCGGATTTATCTTTCTGGGCTAGCAATTGCTCAGCCTGGTTTCTTCCTCAAACACACTTAAAATTCAAAGACGTTGCTGTTTGTCTTTTAGCTCAAACGTAACTTGATAGACATTATAAAAGTCGTAGTCAGATGCGCCTGAAGACGCATTTCGAACTGTTTGGTTCGAAATTAGCGGTAAAAATGCTGAAGGTAATATGGCAATGGTACATATTCATCGTATCAAAAGATTAATAGAAAATTTCATCAAGAATCAATAAGATTACAGATAATGTAAAACGGGAAGAGAAAAAAAACAATTGCGTACGACACTAATGGCCGACATTGTGCGTTGCTTTTTTGTCTTATAAAATTTATTCCTCCTCTTTTTCCAATTTTATTCCTCCTATTTACGTCCTAATAAAAAAGATTTAGAAGATATTCCTTCCGAGGGGAGTAAGGAATACAAGGCTGTATTATTGTGACAACAATCAAGACTAGGTTTTATTGGCAAACTTTCGTGCCATTTCATCGACAAATTAATCTAATTGACATACAATAGGTGGAAACGCCTGTTGACTTATGGTGAAAAATCGGACATAAGGATATTGGCAGTTTTTAGATAATTTTTGAATCAGGGATTTCCCAGCCACTGCTTCTGCTAACTTTTAGTTAATTTTTAGCCTGGTTAAAATGCTTTTATAATAGGCAATTTAATTAATTTTTTCATTTCCGTAAATGGTTTGTACTTGTAACAAATTGGATTTGAATGATAAACATTCTGCACCAAGTATTTAATGTTATCTACAAAAAAAAAATCAATTTTGTGTCCAAATTTTTTCATCTTAGTATATGCTTGTGCGTAATTAAAGTTCTTCACAGATAGAGTACAAAATAAAGAATTAGAATCAAAGGTAGAAAGAAAAAAGCTAAGAAAGTTTGATGCAGTGAGCTAAATGCATACCGTCGGGACCGTAGAACTTTTATGGAGTTATGCATTTAGAGGATAGTTACATGATATTAATATGGAGCAAAACTAATTGATTGGGTGTCTTTTGCCCGTAAATAAATTCTTTCGCAAGCAATAATAAGAAATTTCAAAACGACTTTAACGAATATACAAAGACGTGAAATTTGCTTATAAGGATCTTGTTGATAGTGTAAGCAGACGTAAAAGTGGAAGTCGATATCTCGATTGCTAAAGCGTTCAAGTGAGTCTTGGGATATTGTACAAAAAATTATTTTGTTGTAGATGAAAAATAGGAATTGGGAAGCGGGTAATTAGATAAAGAACGTTTTGTTCTTTTTTTACATTAAACAGATTGTCAAAGACAGATTGGGACTTAATATTATGTTGTAATCACACATGCATTATTATACTGCACAAGAAAAGGGTTCGTATCATTTCACTGACAACAAAAAGGATAATTTCGAGATAATTAATGAACAAATAATTGTCAGTGAAATGATTGGCTCCTTAAGAAAAACCGATAATATGTCACGTAATTATGCATTTAAATATTATGTAAGATTTATAAAAATTGATTGCATATTAATATGCGTTTAAAGGGTGTATGCAATGACAGTATAAGTCCAAACTCGGGACCAGACAAAAGTATGCATGTAGAGGAGGTATGCATTTAGAGGATATGCATTTAGAGGAGTCTCACTGTATTTACGAACGGGTTGAATCTCCTCACACGTTACAAAATAATTATTAATAAATACTAATATTAATGGTGACAATTGATCTAGCCTTCAGAATTTCTATTGAGTGAAGTAATTTTATAGTGCTTCAAAGAAAAATAACATATTACTATTGGTAATAATAAGAAAAATAAATTTATGAGTGTTAGAAAAAAATTTTGTGTAGAAGTTTATCATAAACTATGTTGTACTGTCAGTAACAGCATGTTAACTTACCCAGTCCAATTCGTAATATTTGTTAACGAACAAATAGATTTCCTTGGTAGAAATAAGGCTTTGCGATTTACTATAAAAGAAAAGAAATACCCAGAAGTATACATTAAACTAAGTAAGTTAATGTAGTTGGTGGTCCAACGGGGTTATCCACAAGAACTCTTTCTAATATCGTTAATGTCGTTAGCTGTCATGTAAAAATTTTTTTGTTTAAAAACGCGATTCAAGACATATACAAACAGCATCAATGGGAAACACTTCAGAGTTAAGACAGAGACGGTAGCTAAATCGATTGATAAATATGCTTCGCTTGGCAGTCGGCGCGACATTATTATGTTTATACTTTTTTTTCTTAATCTTTTATTAGCACTTTCTTGAAACTCTCTCTTTTCGACACTTTTATAAGCGGTTTGGATGCTCTTCCAGAATTTTGGTATCTTGATTTTACAAACATAAGGAACAATTTTTGCTGCTTGTCTTTCTGTAAAATACTTCTGATGGTTCCGTAATTCTTTAGTGGCGGATATTATTTTGTAACGTTGTTCAGAGTCATCAGAAATTAGTGAGAGCACATTATTGTTAATATTAGTCCTTCAAACATTCTTGTTTCTAGTTAATATCATATATTACGTATATTCACTTACAGGTTTTAGAATGCGTATGCGAGGTTAATTAACAATAGAGCAACGTATGCCTACCGTGTCATAGCCACTGCCAACATTACTGCATTTAACACGTAAGACATTAGTTGAGCCACTTGAGCCATTTTTTGCCGTCGCTTGATAAGAAATGCGAGCTGAAGTTGTATACACGATAAAAGATATCGTTATTTCAAGCAGCTTTCGTAAATTAAAATCTAGGATTACCGCTTTGTGACAAACCTTATAGATGTTTTTATTGCAATAATCCCATTAAATCTGTATTCGACGTAAACCAATTTACATTTGTACATAATATTCGTATACGAGAAAGCGTCTATAATACACAAAATTGACTGCATATACAATTAATCTGTTAGTTATCACCATTGTTGTCTCCTGAAAGACCGTTTTATAAAGTCTATCTATATAAAACAATTGTATATACTCACACAAGGAAAGAGACTTTATATTTATTGCGGATGTGTGATGATGTGATTTGGTACAGTCGACCCTCTAATATCAACCTCGCGGAACCGGCCAATTTCGTTGATATACAGTATGCGGGGTTGGATATCATGGGGGTGATATGACGTCATCTGCAATATTACATACGTCTCGACTTAGGGGGGGAAAATGCTTATCTTTGGTTTCTTTCTTTCTACATATTAATATATTATCCTTAAACTAACCCATCTGTTCACCTCTTATGAATTGTGGACGAAAAAGTCTGCTAACTTTTTTTGTTGCCTCGCCTCGTATATATTCAATTGAATACGAACGCAACAGACTTTGCATCTTGGTATGTCTTGCTCTTCTACAAATTTGGCGGAATCTTGCTGTTCTGGTTCCTCATTCATGATTATTATCTTGTTCAATGTGAATTTTTAAAACAGCGCGGTTTTATGCAGCACGATATTCAAGTGATTCAGGTTTCAATAATATATAACGCGATGACACATGAAATAATTACGAAAATATGTAAACTGTCATTTCTTACGTTCAATTTTTTCCTCCTTAATTTAATATTGATGTTGATATCAGCAAGGTACAGTACATTTAATTAGAATCAAATCTGATATGTGTTGATAGGGATATCAACGGGGTATGATATCAAAATTGATATATGCGAGAGAATTTACATATGGAGAAATCCGTTATGTAATTACTGTTGCTAATAGAGAGAGGTTGATATTAATGGGGTGGATATTAGAGAGGGTCGACTGTAATAAATCACGTGAATGTAGCACACATCAGCCACGGCGATTATTATCGGCGAATTATTTAGTCAACCTTTGTCACCGAGACTTTTTACTGACATTTCAATCTTTTAGTTGACAATAGTAAATAAATCATCCAATACAGTTTTACAATAATTGGGAAAATTAAGCAATACGACATCAATAAAATGATAGACTCAAAAATCAAGTTCAGCAGACGTCCATACAGAAAAATCATATATCATAAATTGAGTATTTGTATTGAGAGAAAGCGTTGTTATCGAATATGAGTACGCCGTTTTTCAACAGCGTTTCAGAATTCATTAGCTTGTAAATAGTTCACTTGAGATAAAAGCGTAATTCGTTTCCTTGTCCACAAAGCAAACTTTTAATCAAACTGTCGTATTCAGTGGTCGCTTTCTTGTACTTTGAAGGATAATCTTTCTTCTGACCAGAATGTAAATCCAACGTGCTGCAATTTTGTAATTGCGGTGGCTGTTATGCGTGCAAAGTTGTTTTCTTTATGACGTTATTGATAGTCCGCAACTAACCCCAAGCCTAAGAAGCTGTTGTGACTTATGATATGTGACTATACAAAGTAACAATGTCATTAAATACTTTAAAATTGTATATGAATTAGTCAAAGTTGTTTTTTAATTTTTATGCCGAATTCATTAGGCAGTTGTGAAAGCTCTTCGCATTAAATAACGACGCATGATTTTATAAGTTCTGCGTTACTGTTCCATGGCTGTTGTACTACTGTTACCCTTCCAAGTTTACCCAATTATGTTCTTATATTAACTGCTCCTTATCAACATCTCATCTGCGCAGACGGTGTACTACATAACCCGTCGAATGACAAACAATCTATCTCAATCATTGATCTAAATAGGGTTTCTTTCTCAACCTATTCCAACGCTAATGCATCTTTAATTAACTATCATTTTTACTAACGCATCTGTTCTCTTGTTCCACAATATCTGTAAGATTTCTGACAAAGTTGATGACCGAAGCAAATTAATTGAGCCTGACTTGATATAACAAATATTAAAATGTATAAGAACAATAATTTTTAATAATGGGAACACAATAGAAATTGAACGTATTGTATAATGCCGATCGTTCATTACTACGATACGTCGAACTTGTAAGAGGCTTAGCACGACCTTCAACCTATTTCTGCTGCTCCATGCGACTGACTTCTGGGCTTGCATCATAGTCAATAAATAAACAGACTACGTCTATTTTTGTCAACGTTAAAAATATTGCAAATTAGTCGTGAACCGAACAGATACTATAGTGTGTACGAACAGGAAGATAAAGCACTGGTCCCGCTTTGATTTCTCAGCGTATATTACCTAAGAAAAAATTTTTGAATATTTGTTGTTTTACTCTGATGCATGTTGCTGATTATTTTCTTTTACGAATCACCTGACCCGAGTTTGTTTTAGAACCGAACGTAACATTCCATCAGGGAAATGATCGCTGACTTGTATAAGAACACATTTCTAAATTTGGTCAATATATCTTCATAAAATCCAAATATAGTTCGTTCGAGTGAATATAATAATAACGACTATTATAATTTCTGGTCTTCTGTTCACAATTACATTCATTTACTGTCATTCTGACATTTTTGTTCTCCGTTAAAAACATTGACATTCTTTATCACTGAAATAATGTCGAGACATATTCTTGTTACTGAGAGGGCCTTACTGCAAACACGTCTTCCAAATACAACGTACGAAAAGAGAACTAAATATTATTGCTTTCACCTCGGAAGTCGTACCCCTCCAAGGTCAGTCAGGCACTGGCATTCTTTCGTTGAAGACGTGAGACGCTATGAAGTCAGCGACTATAGTATATTTGCACCGCTAAACTTGAGGAACGATACGGTTCAAATCTTCGATGAAGGAACCCTATTGTGCTTAATGGATACAACCGTATTGTCCATAATTCGTAGCATATGGGACCACAGAAGTGTTTCTCTTTTCAGAATAAGAGATTCTTCGAGAGTTGATTGGCATATAACTGATGACGATGGGAGAGCAATAGTTTGCATTTCTCTTAAACCTTGCTGGGCTTTGACAACAAATAACAACGTCGATGCTGTTCAAGAGTATGAAAGGGGTGAAAATGACTTCCATGACTATGTTAACAACATGTATGATTACATGTTGAATCTTGGAATACGCTACGGGATATTGACAACCTACGACAATACTTGGTTCATGAGAAGGTCTTTCGAAGATGAATCTGTTCTCGAAATATCCCAATGTCACAACATCGAAACCGATCATTTGTTACTCTTATCTTGGAATTACATAATCCATTTGGGAAACGTTTCTAGACCGTGGTAAGTAATATTTATCTCTGTAATTTATTCATTATTAATTTTAGAATGTCAAAGCTTTATGATAATTACATGTGAGCGATTACTTATTTTGAATTTTATGCATGGTTTCAGTCATCCGAATCCGGACTATGATTATGATAGCTACAACAATGAAAATAATCCACCAGGTCCAACAAATAATCGTTATTTGCCCCGCTCTGTATCCGACAACTCGGATTACAACTCAAACGAACAAGGTTCATCTAGTTCAGGCGAACAATCATCTGACGGAGACGTCAACTATTCAGCAGGGGGGCAATCGCAATATTCAAAATTTGAATTACATAAGCCCACTCTCATATGGAGCGATATTATTTGGAAAAGCTATCTTAACCATTGGGCAAAGAACGGTCCCATTAAGCTTATTGAATACCATGGACAATTAATGGTACTCAAAATAACGCCCATTGGAGATGAAGAAAAATATAAAAGTCTCATCTCAGAAGTCGAAATTTACGAGCACTTGCGACCTCTACAAGGTATTATAAACATCAAGATTTGCAAATTAATTAACTCATTGTTAATATTATTAATACGTTTGTCTAAATAGGTAAATGTATCCCCCGCCTATTTCATTACGGATACGCACTCGAAGATCAATTTTACGTCCTCGCTCTCGAATATCTTCACCCTGAAGAAAAGGTGCCGACGAGAGCGTATAGTGAGCAGGCCATGAACATTATAGCCGATATACATGATCATGATGTCCTGCACAATGATGTTAGCCTGACCAATTACATTGTTTCTCTGAATAAGGCTACTGGCACTCGACAGCTCTATATGATAGACTTTGATTCTAGCAAGCTATGTGGAAAGAACGATAATAGCTTGTGGGAAAAGAAGAAGATGTATGAGAAGCAAAAGGTTTTGGACCTATTCGACGGTTTATCATGAAGAATAGAGCTATACAATAATTTATACGCATCACTCTATGAAACTATAGGTTGGTAAATCATTTATGAAGCACAAATGTGTGTTTTTCTTAATCTTTCATATGTATTTAAAACCATGGCCCAAGACAAAAAATTTATGTATTTGTATACGAATAAGAATTAACCATAAGCAAACACTTTAGATATATGTAACTATTTGCATAATGATAAATTAATTAATTATACGATACAGTTACTATTTACTATTAAGTTTTTATTATTAAATGCACATCACTATAGAGACTCTCTGTCAGTATTGTAGGTTTACAACTAGTGACTAGAGCTAGAGTGTTATAGTTGGAGAGAATGCGGTAAACAACTATCAGTGACTCACATCATACTCGAAAAGATTCGTGAGTTTGCTATTCGTCTCGGCGTTCAAGACTTTAAAGAAGATCGTCATATACCATGGCGGATACTGCAACAGTTCTAACGTTGATAAACCCGACACTATTCTGACGAATGAAGTCAACACGATCCTTATCATCAAGCAACAACGAAGATACAATATTCTTTGGCTTGCCGATTTTCACTCAACCTATGAAGATACCGAATTGTCTAATATCGCAGTACGTTATCTTCCTGCTAATACTACGGCTCGTGTGATGTTGGAATTATCATTTCGTTTAATATCAAAAATCTATCGATCTTGTTGGATTATCGATGAATTTATTGAATTACTTGATAAATGACAAATGAAACGTGTATTAACCTTTACGGCAGTGTAACCCAAGTTTTCCACATTTGGTGTTGACGCCGCAAAACTATATAATGAACGATAATGATGTATTAGTATATACTATCTTTGACAAAGTACCGAAATAATTTTAATGTCGAGACAAGTTCTTATTAGTGAGAGGGCCTTACTGCAAACACGTCTTCCAAGTACAATGTACGAAGAGAGTATTAGATATTATTGCTTTCAACGTGGAAGTCGTACCCCTCCAAGGTCAGTCAGGCACTGGCATTCTTTCGTTGAAGACGTGAGACGCTATGAAGTCAGCGACTATAGTATATTTGCACCGCTAAACTTGAGGAACGATACGGTTCAAATCTTCGATGAAGGAACCCTATTGTGCTTAATGGATACAACCGTATTGTCCATAATTCGTAGCATATGGGACCACAGAAGTGTTTCTCTTTTCAGAATAAGAGATTCTTCGAGAGTTGATTGGCATATAACTGATGACGATGGGAGAGCAATAGTTTGCATTTCTCTTAAACCTTGCTGGGCTTTGACAACAAATAACAACGTCGATGCTGTTCAAGAGTATGAAAGGGGTGAAAATGACTTCCATGACTATGTTAACAACATGTATGATTACATGTTGAATCTTGGAATACGCTACGGGATATTGACAACCTACGACAATACTTGGTTCATGAGAAGGTCTTTCGAAGATGAATCTGTTCTCGAAATATCCCAATGTCACAACATCGAAACCGATCATTTGTTACTCTTATCTTGGAATTACATAATCCATTTGGGAAACGTTTCTAGACCGTGGTAAGTAATATTTATCTCTGTAATTTATTCATTATTAATTTTAGAATGTCAAAGCTTTATGATAATTACATGTGAGCGATTACTTATTTTGAATTTTATGCATGGTTTCAGTCATCCGAATCCGGACTATTATTACGATAGCTATAACAATGAAAACAATACACCAGATTCTGTATCCGACAACTCGGATTACGACTCGAACGAAACAAGTTCAGGCGAACAATCATCTGACGAGGACGTCAACTATTTATTAGGGAGGCTGACACTCGACAGCTCTATATGATGGACTTTGATTCTAGCAAGCTATGTGGGAAGAACGATAATAGCTTGTGGGAGATGAAGAAGATGTATGAGAAACAAAAGGTTTTGGATCTGTTCGACGGCTTGTCGTGAAGAATGGAGCCGTGCTATAATTTATTTTGTTTGACCATTTGCCAGCTTTCGGAAGCACAATGTATGCACGTTGTTATCTAACCATTTGATAACCATGGGCACGTATATATGTCTATGTTTAATATAATAAAAATTAGCGAATGCTCTTCTCTTGTATTTAGATTTTGCGTGACAGATAAAGCAAACAAATGCGAGTTCTTCCGCAATGATCAAACAGAGGGTTTTTTATTGCATGCGTAATAACAAAACCCGTAAAATTTCAACATCTTGATCTAAAGCGGAATACTCGCACACTTCGTTTATTTCGGCCAAAACACATGGCTTATCGACAGTCAATAGCTTTAAATACTATGCTCGTATTTTGCGATTTATATTTCTCTGTATGTTTATTGTTTGAGATGACTTCTGAAAATATTCATGTACTTAGACTCGAATTCATAATTTAGTTGTTCCGTTCCTTCAAATACTCTCTATAAATCGTCTCAGCCTTCCACGTCAATTCTGAAAGCACTCAGAAACTTCTTCTTGCGGTAGATTATCAGTTTCTAATTTACAGTACGGGCGGAGGTCTTACTTATTTTGACAGAGTAAATATAAAAATGCTTCCAGCGTAACTTTTAATGCTAATATGGGGAGGTTGTTGCTTCAATAATTGTCCGGAGCAAAGCGAAGGACTATTTATTGCGAGGAACTTTTATTCACAAGCGAAGGACTATTACTGTCTGCGCGCACTGTGAAAAATTCGATCACATGAATTTCTCTGTGCGGCACATGATCTCGACCAATGATTGTAATTGATGTAGTACTATAATTAATGTGGATTCGGATGGTATCACGGTGTTTAGGTTTACGGCTGTGTTGAGTAATTTGGGGGGATAATTTGTTACTAGTGGCTCAGAGCGTTATTAGCGTCGCCGCCCCACTACTTTTCACTATCAATGCTACCGTTATTCCTGTTAATCATTCTTAGAATAGAATAACTTCACCTCTATCATCTGTGCTTTCTATGGGCGAATGCCACGCATTTAGATCTGATGCAGCATGGGATGATGTCTCGGGCAATATCTCAGATGATGCCGTGGGCGATGTCATTGCGAGACGTAAACTTGAATATGGCCAAACTATATAACACAGAGTTATAGACAGATATATTATTACTACTTAGTTTGGTTTAAACATAGCCTGCGCTAAAGTAATGAAGTTCATTAACAGTGTGTGTCCACGTTCTAGTATTAATAAAGTTTCTTGCATTTTTGCACTCACTCAACAACCAACAATCCTTCGTCAGTGCAATTCAGGTCGCCATTGACTGACCATAGTCTTCTTTGTATAATACAAGCAAAGACTTGTCTTCTAACTATATGACTATAACGTAGTGTACCTTGTTAGATAACGAAAAATGGCCTCAGTTGAGTTCATGCATAATCAAGTGCGGGTTATTGCTATTGCTATGTGATCATCTGATACAAACGTTTGGTATTGTGACACAATTTATCGCACTTCGCAAATATATTTCTAATTTAAACGTTATAAATAAAACTAAAGACATGCTTCGCGGAGACTAATGTTAAAGACGGAAAACTCGCGAAAACTAAAGATACTATATGGTACACTCTCATTCTCGCTAACGCTATAATTTGTTTTTTTAAAATTAAAAATCTTAAAGTTGGGCCCGATGACATGCACAGGGAGTAAAGCACTACCCAAATGTACTAATACTATGGTGCAAGACACCTAAAGACCGAAATAAAATACCCAACTTTCAAAACTCTAAGGCTTTTATATTAGAGGGTTTG